AAAAAAAAAAAACCTCAACAAGGGGTACTGAGAAAACTGGCTGATCGATTTTTTAAAAAATGAACTTACACAGGAGATTTACTACTTTTTAGTTTTAAATTAGGTGAATACTTTGATTTCTAAACAAAAAAACCATACCGCTTCCTAACACAATGCACAAAAGTTAAATAAATTGGATAAATACCTCAATATCAGATCTGAACCCATAGTGTAGACAGAAGAAAGGATAGGCAGAATCCTCATGACACTAAAGCTAGAGGCTTCTTTAAGGATGAAAAGCCACTGACCGGGCTGGAGCGACAGCACAGCAGGTAGAGTGTCTGCCTTGCATGCAGCCGACCCAGGTTCAATTGTCAGCATCCCATATGGTTCCCCAAGCACTGCCGGGAGTAATTCCTGAGTGCATGAGCCAGGAGTAACCCTTGTGCATCGCCAGGTGTGAGGGAGGGAGGGAGGGAGGGAGGGAGGGAGGGAGGAAGGAAGGAAGGAAGGAAGGAAGGAAGGGAGGAAGGAGGGAGGGAGGGAAGGAAGGAAGGAGGGAAGGAAGGAAGGAGGGAAGGAAGGAAGGAGGGAAGGAAGGTAGGCGGGAGGAAGGAAGGAAGGAAGGAAGGGCCACTGACCAAGCAAGGAGAAGCAAAGATAAACAAATGAGACTGCAATAGAATGGGTCCTTAGGAAGACTCCTGCCACCATGGGGGGAGGAGCATAGGAAAGAAGCCACTACAATCAAGAGAGGGAGAAGTGTCCCTCTGGGTGAGACTGAGCACTGCAAGGAGGGAACATGACTGATAGGGCATGATGCCCTATCAGTAACAGTCCTGTAAGCCATAGTGACATTGGGGGCGGGAAGTGGTCACTGGTGAAGGGACCCGTGTTTGAAGCCTTGTACACCTGAAATTCAATCATGAAGAACTTTGTGACTCGCAGTGATTAAATAAAAAAGAGAATAAAAAAATCAGAGGGTTGGAGAAATAGCACAACAGGCAGGGTGCTTGCCTTGCATGGGGCAGACACGGGCTGGTCCCTGGCACCTCCTAGAGTCCCCAGTACCAACAGGAGTGATGGCTGAGCTCAGAGCTACGAGATTAGGCCCTGGGCATCAAGGTGTGCTTGAGAGTGAGGGAGGGAGGCAGTGAGAGAGGGAAGGAGGGGAAAGAGAGGAGAGCAACTTCCTAGAGACCACCCAGTGCCAAGGAAGGGCAAAGCAACGAAGAGGTGAATCAAATTTGCCTACTCCTAATTCAACCACTTCTGTTCTTCACAACGCATGTTGATCTGCTTCGAGGCAGCCCCTGCACATGCCTCTCAAATAAAACCCAGTCAGTCTGGAACATTCTGCCGACTGTGCTCCTATTTGGCTGCGGAAGGCATGACTGCCTCCCCCGGCCCCCCAAACACAATTTCCTAAGCTACTTGCTAGCATGATTGACCCAGGATGCTGAATATCTGGTCGGAGTCCAGGCCTGCTCAAATTTGGTGCCATGGACCTCCCATGTGCCCAATGTCACGTCACTGCCCCACAGGGCACTTCGCAGGTCTCCTTGAGCCCGGCACAACAGTAGCTACGAGGCACTGGCAAAACACCCTTCTGAATGCTAAAGCTGCTACTGGCACTCGGAACTGCCCAATCTTGCTAGACCAAATGCCACCACCGACACCTGTGACTCCAAATTCCCAGCAGCTGTTCAGGAAGATAAACTCAAAGCCACAATCTCTGTCCGGAATTAAACGTGGGCCCTCATCTGAGCCCGTAAGCAGCACTGAGCATGATGAAGAGACGGAGAAATTCAGCGGCCTGGGAAGGTCCTCAGATGCAGAGATTTCGAAACTGCCTGATGAAGGACTTCAAAGGAACAATTATTTTTTATTTTTTTAAATAAAAAAAATTTTTTTTCAGTCACAGTGAAATTACAAAGTAATTCATGATTAGGTTTCAGGCATACAATTTTACAACACCAATCTCTTCACCAGTGTCCACCAATACCCCCACACCCCTCTGCCTCCTTCCCACCAGTCTAGATATATAGTTTTTGCACAGTGGTTTATAATACTATTACTGAGAGGGTTTCATACATAATACTTTACAACATTTCAGCACCACCTCCTCCCAGTTTAATGCTTCCCTTCAAAGGAACAATTTTTTGGGGGGTGGAAGAGGGTGGCTTTTTGGGTACACCTGTGATGGTCAGAGGTTAACCTGGCTCTGCCCTCAGGAATTACTCCTGACATTGCTCAGGGGGCCATACGGGATGCTGGGGATCAAACCTGGGTCAGCCACATGCAAGGCAAACGCCCTACCCGCTGTAATATCGCTCCAGCTCCAATGGAACAATTCTTAAGGATGCTCCTTAGAGTAAGAGATCAATGGAAGAAAACTTCAACAAGGGCAGAGAAAATATGAGAAAGCAAACAGAAGTCACAGAGCACCAATAGTTGAGCGCTAGAAAAAGGGACTGGCAGGCTGGAAACACTCCTTGCTTCCAGGAGCCCTGGGTTCGATCCTCGGTACTGCACAATCCTGCCAGTGCCTCTGAGTGACCCTCACAAGCACCAGCAGCACCCTGCCTTCCCCACCTCCAAATTGCAGCTAAACTGAAAAGCAGAACAAAATTTTCAATGATGAATTTCTGATACAAAATTTCTGATGAACTCTGACATAAAAATTCTCAACAGAGTCTTAGCAAACTGAATCCAAGAGCATATATAAAAGATCACGCACCACGTTCAAGCGGAATTCATCCCAAGGATGCTAGGATGGTTCAACATAAACAGATCAGTTAATGTAATACATCAATGAAAGAAAAGATAAAAATTGTACAGTCATATCAACTGATACAGAGAAAGCTTGACAAGATACAACAACCATTCATGATTAAAAAAAAAATACCTTCAACAAAATAAGGGTGAAAAACCATCCTCAAAATAGTTATGGTCATCTATAACATACCCACAGTCAGCACATCATTCTTCGTTTTGTTTTTGGGCCACAACGAGCAATGCTCAGGGGTTACTCCTTGCTCTGTATTCAGGAATTACTCCTGGTGGGACTTGGGGGACCATGTGGGATGCCGGGGGAATGAACCTGGGTCAGTCAAGTGCAAAGGCAAGTGTACTACTACTCAGGTCCACAGCCAGCTTTCTTCTTCTTCTTTTTTTTTTTAAGCTTTTTTTATTGAATCACTGAAATGGACCCTTACAAAACTTCATTTTTTTCCCACTTTTTTTTTAATTTTATTGAATATATTGTGTTGAATTCAGTTTAGACTCTTTGGTGAAATAGACCCTTACAAAACTGTTCATGATTGGATTTCAGTCTTACAGTATTCCAACACCCATCCCTCAACTGGTGTACATTACCCAGCACCAGTGTCTCTAGCCAGCACTATTCTCAGTGGTAACAAACTGAGAGCATTCTCTGTGAGATCAGTCATAAGGTAATGACGTCAGCTATATCCACTAATGTTCAATATAGTATTAGAAGTCCTAGCAAGAGGACTTATACTATAGTATAGTATAGTATTAGAATACTATAGTATTAGAAGTCCTAGCAATAGGCAAGGCAAAGAAAACAAAAGGATTCAAATTGGAAAGGAAGACATCAAATTATCACTATTTGAAGAGGACACAATAATATACATACAAAACCCTAGTCTACTAAAAAGCTTCTAAAAGTACTGAATCAATACAGCACAGAAGCCAGCTACAAAGTCAACACATATTCTATGTCTGTCACATTCCTATATGCAAATAATAAATTAGAAGAGAAAGAAATCAGAATCTAAACTCCATTCAAAACAATATCCAGAGGGCTGGAGCAATAGCACAGCGGTAGGGCATTTGCCTTGTATGCGGCCAACCCGGGTTCGATTCTCAGCATCCCATATGGTCCCCTGAGCACCGCCAGGGGTAATTCCTGAGTTCAGAGCCAGGAGTAACCCCTGAGCACCGCCGGGTGTGACTCAAAAGGCCAAAAAGCCAAATAAAAAAAAAAAAAACACTATCCAATACCTCACGGTGATTCAATAAAATTAAAAAGAAAAAGAGGGGATGGAGCAATAGCACAGTGGGTAGGGCGTTTGCCTTGCATGCGGCCAACCCAGGTTCGATTCCCAGTATCCCATATGGTCCCCTGAGCACCGCCAGGAGTGATTCCTGCGTGCAGAGCCAGGAGTCAGCCCTGAGCATCACCAGGTGTGACCCAAAAACAAAAAAAAAAAAAAAAAAGAGAGAAATGTAAGAACAACAACAAAACAACAATATCCAAAAGCATTAAGTACCTAGGAATGAACTTAACAGAAGAAGTTTGTTACAGTTTGATACTGAAACACCAATACCATGAAAACTATAAAATTCTTAAGAGAAGACCTTAGGAACTGGAAAAATATCCCATGTCCTTAGATTTGAAGAATTATTGTTGCCAAATGACCATCCTACCTAAATTACTACATAGATTCAATGCAATGCCAATCCAAATCTGGGCGACATTCTTCAGGAATTTAGAATAACTACAAGTCATTCATGAGTGCAGAGTCAGGAGTAACCTTGAGCATCACTGGGTGTGACCCAAAATCATAATAACAATAGTAATAATAATTTTAAAAACAGATAAATAAAAACAGGAAGAAGGGTTGCAGAGATAGCTTAAGGCATTGGAGTCCATGTTTTGCATGCAGGAAGCTAAGGTTAGACACGGCACTGCACGGTCCCTGAAGCAGAACTGGAAGTAGCACAAACAACAGCCCAAACCCAAAACCCAAAACAAAAACTACAAAGAACATAGGATCAACATCATATTCCTTTCCTATGTTTCTGCAATTATGTAAGAAGTAAATAAGAACTGCCAATTTTGGTCTGACAAAAGTAGAGTTTAAGCAATTATGAACAGTAAGACTGAAGGTTAGAAAAAAAATAAATTAAAATTTCTATTTCTGATTTTACTTTTGCCAATGTACTATTGAAAAAAAATCTCTCTCAAAGATGTAATATAGAGAAACACTTACTATCTTCTCCTGGACAGGGCATTCCAGGACGTTCTGGCACACAAGGGAATACTGAAAGGAAATTAACTAAAATTAATACAACATACTTAAAACATACAATTTACAAAGATTTTAAAATCCAATATCAAGTGAAGCGACCCAAATTTCAACTGGACCCCCCTTTTTGGAGGGTCACTCCTGGCAATGCCCTGGGAAATCACGAGGTACTGAGTATATACACAGCGGCTCTTGGAGTTATTTCCTCAGTCTCATTTCACCCTCAATTAGTAGAAGACAGGGTGTGATGAGTATTGTTTTTCCAAAGGATCCACTTTTCCAAGGCTCCATACATTTTTCAGATAAGTAAGATCCATAAACAGTGCATTAGAAACTCACATTACTAATTACAGTTCCAGTTATTTCTCTGATTGATATTTCTTATTCTTTGAGAAATTATTAACTATTTCCAATACTCCTGGAGTGATAGCACAGCGGTAGGGCGTTTGCCTTGCGCGCAGGCAGCCTGTCCGAGCCAGGTTCGATTCCTCCATCCCTCTTGGAGAGCCTGGCAAGCTACTGAGAGTATTCAATATGCCAAACATGGTAACAAGAAGTCTCACAATGGAGATGTTACTGGGCCCGCTGGAGCAAATCGATGAACAACAGGAGGACAGTGACAGTGTTTTCCAATACTCTTGATAGGAGGGAAGGCCCTGCTTTATGTGTGGATAATCCCGTTTCCAATGTTTGGCACCACGTATGAATGGTTCCGAGTACTGTCAGGGATCACGCCTGAGCACAGAGCCAGGAATAGTTCCTGGTACTAACAGATGTGTTCCAAAACCAAAATAAATAATTTTTAAATTTCTAAATAAGAAAACACCTTATATAAAACTGTTAATACTATCAATCAATTACTTCTTTAAGCATTCATTGTTTTGTTTTGTTTTGTTTTGCTTTTTGGGTCACACCCGGCAATGCACAGGCGTTACTCCTGGCTCTGCACTCAGGAGTTACCCCTGGCGGTGCTCAGGGGACCATATGGGATGCTGGGAATCGAACCCGGGTTGGCCGCGTGCAAGGCAAACACCCTACCCGCTGTGCTATCTCTCCAGCCCCATTCATTATCGTTTTGTTCTAGAAAGAGCTGACCAAAAAGACATGACTTCTACAGCTCTACAAGGACGTCAACACACTGGATTACGTATGATCGCTCATCACTACAAGGTCAAATTCTGAATATGAGAGGAGGAGGGGTAACCAACTGTTAAACAAAAAAGGGAGTGATCATACAATGGGGAGAGTGTTCGTCTTGCAGGTGGCCAATAAAGTTTGATCCCCAGCATCCCAAGCACAGCCAGGAGTAATTCCTGAGCTCAGAGCCAGGAGTAACACTAGAGCATTGATGGGTGTGGCCTCAAAACAAAAACTAAAAAAACGATTTTTTTGTTTATTTTCCTTTGGGGCCATACCTGGCATTTGCCCTACCCGCAGTACTATCACTCTAGCCTCTCACTCCACACACAAAAAACTACTGTTTTAAAAACACAAGTCACTGTCACTGTTCTCCTGTTGTGCATGGATTTGCTCAAGCGGGCCCAGTACCATTTCCACTGTGAAGCAAGTATTACTTTTGAAACAATTTGTTTCATTTAGAGGAAATGCCTGTTTCAACTACTATTTTGGGGAGGGGTCTTCCCAAGCAGTGCTTAGGCAATCTGGAGGACCCCACCAGGAATTCTCAGCTAATGGGGACTGCAAATATAAGGGCCTAAGAATGCAATGCTGCTCCAGCTCTGTGCTGCCGGGGACACCCAGGTCACCCTAGCAATGCCGGGGACCCCCAGGCTGGGCCACACCCAGCAGTGCCCCAGGACACCTGGCAATACACTGGGGACCACGAGGCGCCAGGAGGCAAGCCTGGGTTAGGTGGGCATTCTAGCCCCTGGACATCATTTTTCAAATGTTTGAGAGTTCCTTAGGTCTGACCTCTTAAACCACTGAAAAAATGTTATATAAAATATCATGGTACTGCAATTACAAGTAGCGAACTGAGTAGTTCTACATGACAAAAATCTGAGGAAGGCAGAGGTATAATGAAAACAACAAAGATCTGGAATAAGAATAATAAATCCTAGCTCTGAGCTCAGGAGTGACCCCTGACAGTACTCGGGCTATAAATTTATTATTCTTATACAGGCCTACAGTATACTAATGAAATGATCTCTAGTTTCAGGCCTCGTCTTCTGTACCACTGTCTACCTACGCAGGTTACTGACATTAACCACACTGATATCTACAATGACTATGCAAGTGGTTTCACTATTACCCTTTAAATCAGAGAAAGAACAGTCAAGACATTATTTGGTGGCCATTATTTGCATACATGATTGTGCGAGGAACGCAGAGAGAGAGATAGCCACAAAAAGACACCTGTCTTCAAAAACTCTTGAGCTCATTCACCAACGTGGCTTGACGCATGCCTCAGGCAACCACAAGCGAATGTCCGAGCTCCCAAAACAGTGCAGAGAAGCGATAAAGGAAGACCTCAAAGAGAGAAGAGCAGCAGTGCTGGCAGTGCGGCAGAATCCAGGAAAAGCATTCACAACGTCCGCCTGTCCTTCGCCAACTACAAGACCAAGATGACTGTTCTCCGACGTCCTGATGGATCTAGGACATCTTCCAGAAGGGCAATATCAAAGACTATTTATGACTTCTACTTGAATCTCTTTGATAGCCACGTCCACCTGCCCCCCATACCAAATTCTGCAGGATGGATATGTCATTCCCAACATTCTCCCTTCTGAAATCTGACACGCCATTTCATCGGTAAAGAAATGAACAGCACCCAGCCCAGACAGGGCCAGACCTGAACACCTGAAGAACCTGCCATCAGTACTCATCAATACGTTGGCTCAACTCTTCACACGCTACCTGTCTGAATGCAAGGTTCCATCCCCGTGGAAAACCAGCAGGACTGTACATCCAAAACATTGGCAACTATTGCCTGATCTGCCTGTTGTCTGTCATCTACAAGCTGTTCGAGTCATCCTGAGTAGGACTGGCAGAACACGAGATGAAGGACAACCATGTGAGCAAGCCGGGTTCTGCAAAGGATTCAGCATGATCGACCATATCCACAGGTTAACTAAGCTCACTGAGGTTTCTCGGGAAGCCACTCTGTTTAACATTTATTGATTTAAAGAAGGCCTTTGACTCTGTTGAGACTGAAGTGGTCATAGAAGCTCTAGCCAAACAGGGCGTTCAAAGTCAATACATCAGGATCCTCCATGAGCTGTATTACAGATTCACTACCAGGATCTCACCATTCTACAAAGAAGTGATCATCCATGTCAAGAGAGGGGTTCAGCAGGGTGATACCATTTTACCAAAACTCTTCAGTGCCACCGTCAAGAATGTCATGCGACGACTGGAATGGGAAGCAATGGGAGTGAAGAGAGACGGTCGGCAACTACGCCACCTCCACTTCGCTTATGACATCGTTCTAATAACATCAAACATTAGCCCACTGCATGAATGCTGGCCGATTTCGACTGTGAGTGTGGGAAGGTTGAACTGTAGCTGAATCTCACAAAAACAATGTTTATGAGAAATGGTCTCGTTCCTAGTGTTCCATTAACTGTCAACAAAATGAACATCTCTGAAAGCAACAGTTATGTGTACCTAGGTCGAGAAGTCAATATGACGAATGACCTGGCACCTGAGTTGTGCAGAAGGAAGAGAGCGGCTTGGAACGCCTTCGAGAGCGTCGAAGAAACAGCTAAGAGGACGAAGAACCTCTGGTTCCAGGCACATCTTTTCGACTCCACCATTCTTCCTACACTAACATATGCTCAGAGACCTGGGCCCTACGAAAACAGGATGAGAACAGTATTCGGGTCTCCCAAAGAGGAATCGAAAGAGCTATGCTCGGAGTATCACATTTCACTCAAATGAGAGAAAGAATCTGGAGTTCCGACCTCCGTCGATGATCAAGAATCAGGGATGCTGTCTCATTTGCCAAGGCATTGAAAATCAGATGGGCTGGACACGTAATGAGATTTGGAGAGGACAGCTGGACTAGAGCCATTACTGACTGCATTCCATGGGACGTCAAAAGATCGCGTGGCCGCCCACCTACGAGATGATCAGACTTCTTCATCAAGACCCTGAACGATCGGTTTGAGGCTCTTTGTGTTCCTAGAATGAGCAGACGCCAGTGGGCTACACTAGCATACGACAGGGACAAATGGAGACGTTACTGGCGCTGGCTCGAGCAAATTGATGAATAACCGATGATAATCGATGAATAATCGATGATAAAAAACGGGATGTCAAAGTGATTTGCACACATCATTAGACTATAAGGTGATGGTTTAGGTTCTACTTTGTTCTCAATTCTCATTTGTTTGTTTGTTTTGGGTGCCACCTGGTGATGCTCGGCTAATCCTGGCTCTGCGCTTGTGAGTGGCACCAGAGATTAAATCCAGTCCTCCTGCAAGCAAAGTATTCACCCCACTGAGACATCTCCTCAACTTAGTCTCTGAATTTTAAATTTCTAAATTACGTTTTGCTGTAAAATACTGAAAGATGACTACATTTTTTTACCAACGAAGGAGTTAAAAAGAGCAAATTTCAGAGCCAGAGCAGGTAGGGCATTTGCTTTGCACGCAGCCAAACTGGGTTTCGATCCTCAGCACTCCATATGGTCCCCACTGCCCTTCAGGAGTGATCCTGAGCATAGAGTCAGGGTAAATACTGAGTACTATCAAGTGCGACCAAAAAAAAAAAAAATCTCAAGATTGTAAGAGGCAGATGGAATTTTATCAACTTAGTAAAACCCAGTTATATAACTATAAAAGATAAAAGATTAAGAAACAGACATCAGAGGCCAGAGAAAGGGTACACAAAGATTTTTCCTCGCTTGTGGCCAACCCAATTTAGTAACTGCTACCACATATAGTCCCCCAAGGGTCATCAGGGGTCATGTCTAAGCACAGAGCAAGGAATAAAACTTAAGTACCACAGGCGATGGCCCAAAGCCAGCTGCATCCCTTACCCCCAAAGAAAAGAACAACAGGATCACAGGGGTTGGTTTGTTTGTTTGGGGGTCACACCTGGTGGTACTCAGGGGTTACTCCTGGCTCTGACCTCAGGAATTATTCTCGGTGGGCTCAGGGGACCACATGGGATGCCAGAGATTGAATGTGGGTCGGCTGCATGCAAGGCAAATAAATGCCCTACCTACTATACTACCCCTCTGGCCCTAGGATTGTTTTTACATCTAATTCTTTCAGTTATTACAGAGAGAACTGCAGCTCTGGAAAAGCAAGAAATGATCATTTCCTTACCATGGATCAAGAGCTCAGAATCCTTGTTTAGCTCGTAAAGCCTGAAGGCTTCCTCCAGCTCCAACTGAGAAGATACTGTGCATGGGTCTCCTGAAAAATACAAAAATACAAAGTCACTTTTCAAATCCTCTAAATGTAAGCAACTTTCATTACATGAAATTATACAGTTATAAATAAAAAGGAAAAACCTGAGGAAAAACGTCCGCCTACTTAATCGAATTTCTGCATGACTTCTATTTGTGTGTAAAATATTCTGTGAAATTCACAAATGACAAATATTTTATAAGTAAAAATCACTTAATTCTCAAGATCATGTGTATAGCAATATAGCAAACAGAAACTACTGTGACCTTTTGAAATAATTTCTGCATAATGACTAATGGTCAGGAACAAGCTCTACACTTACCTGTTTCTTCAAAAGATGACATGAAAATGGTTCTATTAGCATAATATGGTTGGTTAGCGTTCTCTGGGTAATCACTTTGTCAAAATGTTCCTTCACCTGAGATCTGTTCACGGTCACAGAAAGGAAGCCCTGCTCCTAACGTACTGAAGAGCAATCCTATTCGAATGGCCCGCGAGTGCAGTTTTAGTGAACTTAAACGTGGAGGAAAGGAAGGAACACCTGAGTCAACAAGTCATATTGCTGGCAGCTGATGAGATGGCATGTCTCTTTGCATTCCTCAATGACACAGTCATTAGAGCATACTTAAGGCATGAGCTGGGTCCACAGTCATTCTTTTGCTCATTCGAGTGGTTACGCAGTGGTTACGCAGAACACCACCACACTCTCTGGATGCCACCATCACTATATTCAAACGACTATCACTGTCAGCTGAGTCTTCTATTTGAGAAGGGGGGGAACAAGTGATCATCTCTTCCCTTTCTCAGAGAAATAGTGTCTCTATTCTTCTTTCCAACTCGGCTGCTGAATTCCCACTTCTTTTCTTCTCTGAGCATTATTCCATTAGTCCGTCTCAGTTTGGTTTTCGTTTCTTTTGTTTCCTTTTCTCAAGCAAAGGCACGTTTGAGTTTCCCTTGGAAAAGTTTCTTTCCCGTCCCCTCTCTTCAGAAGCTACACTGTGGACTGAAACTGCAGGAGATGGGTGAGAGGGAGCAGGTATGGAAGAAGAGGGTCTCCTGTTTCTCACCTCATAGTTTTGCTGTTTTTTTTTAAGGTATAAGTTTACATACTTTTCGATTTGCTAGAGACAAGTTTTCTTAATATCAAAAGTGATCCTGGGGCTGGAGCAATAGCACAGCAGGTAGGGCGTTCGCCTTGCACGCAGCCGACCTGGGTTCGATTCCCAGCATCCCCTATGGTTCCCACAAGCACCGCCAGGAGTAATTCCTGAGTGCATGAGCCAGGAGTAATGCCTGTGCATCGCCAGGTGACCCAAAGAGCAAAATTTAAAAAAGTGATCCTACCCGCGTTCTCTGTATTTCTTTCTTACGTTAACTTCCCAAATTTCTCGAGATTTTAGTTCACACACTCACTAAGACTACTATATTCAAAGTCATAAAAATAGCTGCGGCAGCCCCAAACCTCCATGACTCAATCGCAGCCAGGCTCAAGGCAGCTCTCCACAGGCTTGGATGAACCTCACCCATGAGTGAGTCCGCAGAGAAACTCAAGTATGCGGGAACCGTGACTAAAATCTCCAAGCCCACTAGGAGCGGGAATGGGCCTCCTCTCCCCATTTCCCAAGTTTACCAGTAGTTTGGCACTCACATCCACAAACTGGCCCTGCGCGATTTCATGTCATCAATGGCTATGATTATGAAACTCAGAAATAAAGCTTCTGGAAGAGAGTGACATAGGCCTCACCCATGAGTGAATCTGCTGTATACTCGTATTCCGAATTTGAGAATTCCTGACCTCTCATACTCCACACCACTGATGTACCAAGAGAAGCCCACAACATTTGATGGCGTTTAGCAAACATGCTGGTAATCTCTTATGCAAGAGCTTAAAGGATCCAGGATGAAATACAAGAATCCTCACACACTTTCCTCTAAGGAAACTTTATTGGACTGTTTTTAGCAGATTATTCATAACAAGCAATACAAAATTAACTGTTTGGGTTCTGCTTTGGGGGGCATGTTTGGGATTTGGGGTGGAAACATTCGAAATATTGTGGTGGGAAGTTGCAATGGTGTTTGAATATTCAATGTAATGAATTATTGTAAACAACTTTATAAAAATAAAATTCAAATGAAATGAAAAAAAGCTACTGCAACGTATGCCATCTTTTCTGTCTTTATTCTAATTAACTTTATAGCATCTAAGAGCTCTGATTACAGAAACTGTGTCTAGGATTCTAAAATGCCATTCTTCTGGCTCGCAAACTTCTCAACACTTTATTTTGGAAATTTTCAAATCTACAAAATTTTGTTCACTTTCATACTCTCCTTCATATCCTCCTCTCCAAATCTCTGAAATCTGTACCACAATTCCTTAATACAATCAAAATACCATTATAAATCAATAAAAACTGACGAAAGTTCACAATCAGATATTCAAACATAAGCATCTTCAGAAGAATCAAGTTAAATCTCTACAGCACAAATGAATTCAAAACGGCCAAAGGCAGGGCCAGAGCGATAGCACTGCACATAGCGCACTTTCCTTGCGCAGAGTCAACCCCTGTCCAACAGCTGGCACACCAGGGGCACCTCTGGACCCCGCTGAGCATCAGCACGTACAGCTGTAGAGGCCCTCGGCACTCCTGAGGGGCTTCACATCCACAGGGGAAGCTCTGAGCACCACTGGCTGTGGCCCACAAACAAACAAAATCACCTAAAATGGGCCAAAGAGGACAGGGATGTGGCTTCAGCAACAGATCCCTGTTACATGGGTGAGGCCCTAGGTGTGACCTAAAATTAAGAATTAAAACTACTACAAATGCTTGGAAGAAAACAGAGTAAGGAAGCTCCATGACAGTCTTGGGTGAGACAATAAGAGCACAATAAGGAAAAATAAATTGTACAGATCAAAATTTCAAACTTTCATGCATCAGAAGACACTATGAACACAATGAAGAGACAACGCATGCAAAAGAATATGGTAACTTACACCCACTGATAAGGTGTGGCTACCTAGATGGAAAGACCTCTTACAATGCAACTCGAATAACAACAACAACAAAATTGCTTTTAATGAGCAAGGCCAGTATGTGCATAAAAGCAAGAAGCCAGTATGTGCATAAAGGTTTCAATCTCAAAACTCATTAGGAATATGCAAATTAGTCATAGTGCTTCACGCCTATCTAACAAACAAAATGTCTAATAAACAAAAAGTTACAAGTGCTAGACCAGGGAGGAGAGCCTGGAATAGTTTCCATCTACCATGGAGGAAGCAGAAGGTTCGAGCATGGCACTGGGGGGGGGGGGAGGGAAGCTATGGGGAAAACTGGCAAAATTAGAACCCTTGTGCACAAATGGTAGGAATGGAGTATATGGTGAAATAACCACACACACACACACACACACACACACACACACACACACACACACACACAAATAGGGGTCTTGTGACAGTACGACATTGGATGCATGTAACTAAGCAGGTCAACTCCCAGCACCACACTGTCCCCCAAGCACACCAGGGGCACCTCTGGACCCCCCTGAGCATCAGCACGTACAGCTGTAGAGGCCCTCGGCACTCCTGAGGGGCTTCACATCCACAGGCCTTAACCGCTGGCCTGGCTGGCTAAGAATCACAGGTGCAGCCGCCTGAGCACTTCTTGGGAGGTGCCCAAAATAAATCAGCCATAGTGATTTTCATATTGCAACACAGGCAACTAACTCTGCAGTTTAAACTGCTGAATATACATCCGAAAGAACCAAAAACAAGAACTGGAAGAGAGCGCCAACAGCAGAGGCACATGCTGCAGAGATAAACCCTAGACCCAGCACCAGGCTATCATATCCAGACCAACCCAGAGCCGGGTGGGTGAGTTCCCCTCCCTGTCCCAAAAGAGCCCCGGCAGCCAAAAACCTTCAGAGCTCAACAGCGAATCTGCTGAATATTCTAAAATCTTCTAAATTTTAGAATTCCTGGGGCGCACGGCCACGCTACTCTCACACTCTGCACCACTGATATGCCAAGAGTGGCACACAGCATCTGACGGGGTTTAAAGTAGAAGGGAACCAGAACCAACCAATCTCATTGGGGGGATGGGGAGGAGAGGAACACACACACACACACACACACACACACACACACACACACACACACGAAGGCACACAAAGCTCAACTTTCAACAAACATGTTAGTAATCTCTTATACAAGGGCTTAATGGCTCCAGGATGAAATATAACAATCCTCATACGCTTTCCTCTAAAAAAACTGTATTGGACCATTTTTAGTGGATTATTCATAACAAGCAATACAAAACTGTTTTGGTTTTGCTTTGCGGGGGGGGCGGGGCACAGCTTGAGATTTGGGGTGGAAACATTCGAAATATGGTGGTGGGAAGGTGCAATGGGGTGGAATTGCCGTTCGAATATCAGATGTAATGAACTATTATGAACAAGTTTATAAAAATAAATTCTTAAAAGAACAAAGCAGAAGCATCTACTTTCTCTGCAGGAGCCCTGGGTTCAAGCCCTGCGCTGCCGGATTCCCCAAGCAAAGCCAGCAGTTAACCCCTGAACACTGACCTGAGATAGAATTAATCCCTTAGCATTTTTGAGTGTGGTGCAAAAACAAACAGGAAAAATCTTTACCATTAGTTCAAAATTCAGACTTTGTTTATTTTTAATTTTGTGGTACCAGAAATTGACTATGCAAGGCAAGTGCTTACTGCTGAGATTCATGTAACTTTGTTGCTGTCCTTTTTCAATGCAGACACTAAACTTTTCCTAGATTCGCTAATCAGTTTAGTGAATTAGAATTAGAATCTAGTTTTGGTGACTAGTGTTAATATGTCTACAGTTTCTCCCCTAAAATTGTAAATAATAAAAATAAATTCAATATCCAGCAAACCAAACTCACACTGCAAGTGACTTCTTAAGACTGAATCACTTTTCCTCCACTTTAGCTTTCTTGAACACATCTGGCAGCGCTCAAGGTTTACTCATGACTT